AAGGATCCCTCCTGTTGCCCTTTGAGAGCCATGCCCACATCTCTCCTGCTCCCACCCACTCCTAAATTCCTGGCCAACACTAAACTGTTCTCCATTTCCATAATTTTTTCATTTCAGGAATCTTATTAAATGGAGCCAAACAGTACCTAACCTTTGGGATTGGCTTTTTCTCACACAGTGTAATTCTCTGGAGGTTCCCCTGGACTGTTGCCTGTGTTCATTGTTTGTTCCTTTCAGTTGCTGAGTAGTATTCCATGGGATGGGTGTGCCACACCTTGTTTAACTGTTCCCCTGCTGAAGGAAAGCTGGGCTGTTGCTAGTTTGGGGCTGTTACAAATAAAGCTGCTATTAACATTCATGTGCAGGTTTTGTGCAAACAAAAATACCCAAGAATGCAATTGCCGAGTCATAGGTCATATGGTAGTTACATGCTTAGGTGTTTAAGAAACTGTGAAAATCTTTTCCAGGGTGGCTGTATCATTTTACATTTAGCATTTTACCAGTTGGAGAGGAGTACAGAAAACTTGATTTTTGTTTAAATTGTTTTACCCTCCCCATTTGCAATATAATTGTCTTAAACAGTTCTTCTACATACCCTTAGAATCATATCAGACCATGTTACAATTTTTGCTTCAACTACTAAACATAATGTAGAAAATTCAAGAGGAGAAGGAAAGTCTGTTGTATTTACTGTATCTTTACAATGCCCTTTCTTCCTTTCTGATGTTCTACATGTCCTTCTTGTTTCCTTTCTGTTTAAATAACTTCCTTTAGACATTTTTTTAGCGTGGGTCTTCTGCTGAGAAATCCTCTTCATTTTTCTTTGTCTGAGAATATCCTCATTTTCCTTCATTCCTAAAGGATATTTTCACTAGATAGAGAATTCTGGATTGAGGATTCTTTTCTTTTGTTACTTGAAAACTGTGGTGTCACTTCTTCTGATAAGACATCTGCCATCATCCAAGTAGCTTTTCCCTCGTAGGTAACATAGTATTCTACTCTTGTTATGTTCAAGACTTTTTCATTGTCATTAGTTCTCAGACTTCTGACTATGATGAGTCTTGGTATAGATTTCTTTGGGGTTTGCTTCACATCTAAAATCTGAAGATTCATGCCTTTTGTCAAATCTACAAAGTCTTGAGCCATTATTTCTTTGACTACTTTTTGAGCTCCAGCCTCTTTTTTCCTCTTCTTCCCGGACTCTGAAGACAGAAAGAATGTTAGGTCTTTGGTTGTAGTCCCACAGTCCCTGAGGCTCCATGCTTTTCTTCTTCCCATTTCCTCTGTTGGTCAGACTGAGTAGTACTGATTCTTTCCCCTATCTCATTCTACTATTGAGCTTATCTATTGAGGTTTTTATTTTGGTTATTATATTTTTCAGGTCTCCAATTTCCACTTGGTTGTCTTTTTCTGTCTTTGATTTCTTTGCTGAGACTTGCTTTTTTCATTTGTTTCATGCATATTCCTAATTGTTCACTGAATTATTTTTTATCAGGACTGACTTAAAATCTTTGTCAGATAATTCTAACATCTGTCATCTCAGAAGGCACCTTTTTTTCCTTCAGTTTAAGATCTTTCTGGTTCTGTTATGGGGAGTGAATTTTAATGACACCTTGACATTTTTGCATTATTTAATGACTTCTTATTTAAGATACTCAACTGGATTCCTGTGATGTCACTCTGGCAGAAGAAGGGTGAGTGCTGCCTCATTATTACTGGCAGGAGGAAATAGAAGTCTAGACTCCCCCTCAGACCCCACTGATATCAAGGCAGGAAGCCCTGTTGCTGTAGGGCTGGGGTGGAAGTCTGGGCTACCCAGCTGGTCTCTACTGACTCTGTGGTAGGGGTGGCCTTGCTCTCACTGGGCAGTGGTGAAAGTCCTGACCTCCACTAGGCCTCTGTGCACCAGTGGGAAGCGGGGGATGGGGGGCGGGGGAGCCTCACTGTAGCCAGCTGGGGCGAATGCCCTGTCCAGGGTCCCTAGGTGTTCTCCACTGGGCAGGAGCGGGGCCATGTTACTGCCCAGGGAGTGGGGGGAGTGAAAGTCCCAGCTCACTACTTGGCCTCCTCTGACATCACCTCAAAACAGGAAGGAGGAGGGTACCCCATTACAGCCTGACAAGGGTGGAGGTTTAGGCTTCCCCTTGGCCTTTCCTGGCAGGGCCAGTTTTCTCTGCAGTGCTGGCTGGAGTAAAGCAGTTGCTGTCTATAAGCTTTCTGCCTTACTAGGCAGCCTTTTTCTTCATCCTTTGACTAAAGAGAGCAGGTTTTCACTGGGGCTTTTTTAAGCCTATACCTTTTGGCATTCCTGGGTGCTGGCTTCCTTAGCTCCAAGTCTGGAATGTATTTGGCAAAAAAAAAAAATGAAAAAAAAAAAACCTGAAAGAGGGAACTCCTCACCATATTATTGTCTGGGGTCCCAAGGCCAGTAGCTAGTCTGGTAGGCAGCTTGCCATCTTCTCTCCACCATTCAGAGACTTAGGTTTGTTTGATAAACTGTTGCAGGGTCTTGTTGTGCTGTTAGCAGAAGAAGGACAAGTGTATTTGCTCCATCTTCCCAGAAGCAGAAATCCTGTCTTGATTCCTTAACATGCAAGAAGTCCAGACATAATTTCTTAGTTTTTACTACTAATTCCCTGGTTGAAATGTTAGGTATTTGGTTGGATCCTTGATATAATTTCTCCTGAGGTAGAAATGTGAGTTAGCTCGTTTTTATGGGAGATGTTATGCAAGAATATTTCTGCGTCCTCTGATGATAGCACCTTCAGGGGAAGCTGGCATATGACAAAAAGGCTTTTTTATTTTCCTCTTCCCCAGAAGGTACTGAAATCCAGAAGCTAGACCAGAAAGGTAACACAGCAAACACACAGTAAACATCCAATGAATGAATTAACAAGTGAACAAATGCATACTGAATAAAATGGAAAACAGTATATACATTTATATGGCTATTTTGACTAAACATTCAAAACCACTAATGTTTGGTTGCTCTGAGTTTAGGGAAACTTGTTGGGACATGCTATGGGTCTGGCTAAAGAAAATAGGCTCTCTTTTGTGATGCATAAAAATTGTTGAACCACTATGTTGCACACCTGAAACTGATATAATATTGTATATCAACTCTACTTCAATATTTTTATTAATAAAGGAAATAGGCTCTTTATATAATAAAGGTGAATTATTAATTAGCACAATTCTTCTGGACAGCAATTTGGCAATACCAAGGCTTGAACCTGTTCAAACCTCAGTAAATCGATCTCCTCAAGAAATAATAGAAAAGATGGAAAAGGTTTTATGCACAAAGAAACACATCACGATGTAATTTTTAACACCACAAATTAGAATGTTCTAGCTTGTCATCTGGCTTCTCAATAGACAAATAGATTGACATCAATGGTATATCCGTCTAATGGAATAAGCTGCAGCCATTAAAAATGAAGTTTACAAGGACTATGTCCTAAGACACAAACATGCTTTTGTTAAAAACCTACAAAGTTGTACAAATATCATGATTATATAACTGTTAGAAATATGACCCAGGCCTGAGCCCTCTGGCCCATGTGGCATAGGCCTAGCCTATTGCTCATTGATAGGCTCAGAATGATAGTGCCGGCTGACATGAGTAAGGCACATCCTCTGTGCAGGCTCTGTTCTTTGGGCTTTACAAATGTTAACTATATGTTAACCTGATAAATCCTCACAATATCCTCATGAGGTTGAATTATCATTATCAGCCCTATTGTCAGATGAATTAATTGAGGCACAGATGTATTAACAAGCCCAGGTAACACAGCTATTAAATGGCAAAACCAGGACTCATACTTAGTCTGACACAGCTCATGCTCTATACATACACCATATGGCTTTCCAGGTCACAATCAGGGTACAGATGTGCTACATCAGAGCCAGCCTTTCTCCTCTGCTGGCCCTGAAGCCGAGGAGGATGCTCTGGGGTGGCTGCTGCCATCTTGCCACACGTGGAACCAGACAGTGGAGCACAAGCAGCAGAGGGAGGAGCTTAAGACAGGGAGGACTGCAGGTCCTGGCGGCCTGGTGAGCTCCAGAAAAGGTTGCGTCTGAAGCCAGTTCAGTATTGTGGCCAATACATTCTCACCTTCCTCATCTCCCCAACCCACTTTCCCTTCCTTATTACAGTTTGAGTTGGTTTTCTGTAACTTTCTCCGTCATGGTTTTCTCTTCTAAGAACTCCTATTTAATTGGACATTTGATCCCCCAAATCTTGTTTTCTTCTGCTATTCCTCACCTGTCTTTGTTCTCCTTGGGAGATTCCGTCGACCTTACCTTTTAAGTCTTTTAACGAGACACATGGGGAAAAGGGTTGCAATAGCACATTTTTTAGTTCTAGATTCTTTTTCCAATTGTACCTTTTTTATGGCCTCCTAGTCTTGTTTCATGGATCTAATAGTCTCACTTCTCTGAGGACACCGATTGTAACTTTTTAAGTTTCCCACTAGTCCCTGCATTATTTCAGTTTCCTCAATGTTCCTTTCTGTTTTGGTTAGTCTTTCACATTGGAGGTTTCCTTCAACTGATATGATTCTGAGTAACCATTCATATTTAAGTGTGAGTCATAAACAAGTTGACTGACAGCTCTCAGTGTATGGATGGGCTCCATCTGGTGGCTTTTCTGCTGGGGAATCATGTGGCCAGCCTGTTTTTTCCACCAGGAACCCCATATTTTGAGCATTTGAAGGTCCTTCTCAAGGAGAAAACACTGTATTTTCTTAAGCTAAACAATGCTGTCATAATCTGAACTTGGCCAGAGAAGAAAAGTACAAAAGTTACTTCATTTAGAAGAAAAAAACATCTAAATGGGGAAAAGTAACTTTGAATACTGGGGATTTATCCCTGCAAAAACAAACAGGGTACAGTACAGTTGGGGTCACAGGACCAGCAATGCAGTAGGCACATGTAAACATCTATTAAATAAACAAAACTTCCATGTGGTAGACGATGCAGATGTGGATAAAATCAAATGCTCTTTGTTTCATCACTTTTATTAGTCATATATCCAGAATCATTATATAAATTTTTCAAAATAACTACATATTACAAGAATAGTTTACAATTCAGCTCTGATTGCACAAATACTTGACACAGGAAACCATTTTTACAAATACATGTTCTCTATAAGAATATTTTAATAAAGAAAATAAATCTCTATACATCTTACAGCAAACTTTATGCAGTTTTTTCTCATTCAACTATCATTTCAGGTTTTCTATTACAGCGCGTCCATCACATCCAATATACCAAATTACAATTTGCTGCTGTTTCTCATTTTCAACTATAAGATTCACACTATTAAGAGTTTTTAGGCATCTTTTTTTATTCTTTCCTGATCTGAAGGAATTCACATATTTAAGCCAAAAGAGTCTGTTTAAACAACATTTCTTCTAATTTTATCAGGTTAATCATGGTGCTTGGTGAATGGTCTTTTCACTTCTCACTTAGGCAGGACCAGTTAGTTGTTTTACCCCCACTGTATCAAGCAAAAGGCATGAGTCCTTACGTTCCCAATAGTTTCTAAACTTCAAAAATGAAACCCTAAAAACAAGAGTTAAATACAAATATTAAGAAATCTAAAACATTTGCTAATGATTAGAATAAAGAACACCTTTAAATTCAAGGTCTCCCCTAGATTGAAGATATCAATGAAATAAAGTATAAGATATGGTAGTAGTTTTATAAAATATTGAAAACCTTTAAAGGTTTTCAGTGGTGTATCATTTCCAAGCCCCAGAAGGTAAGCGAATATTCTGTGATTAGCTAGACTTAATACGTGAGATTCTTCTTATGCTGTGGCTTTGAAATAGCCTAATACTCACTTGCCCAGAGCAAGTGCTTATTTAGCCCAGGGGAACTTTCTAGAATACTGACCCCACTTACCTGAAGAGGTAGGATCCACCAGGGAAAACATCTGGTATTCATTCCATTCCTTCACTGTTACTGAAAAGTGTGTTCACTTGGCAAAGCTTATCTTACTTTTCTGACAGTGTGGATTAAAACCAAAAGACCAGCAGTGTTCTACAGTGTGATTCCTGAGCACGCAGCTCCAATTATCTAGTATTCTCAAAAGGACTGTTTAATCAGGCCCTCATCCAGTAAGAGATTCAACAGCACTTGGAGACTACAATATGTCCCGTTTCTCTTCTATTTCTCTTCATTTCCTTTTCTCACCCCAGTGTAACAAACTGCTTTAATCAATAGGTTTTAATCAAAAGACTATAGCAGTAGTTAGAAATGAGTTATTTTGCATTACCGAAAGCATTCAGTCACATTATAACAGGTCACATTTGCATATACCTAGGACATGGCCAAATAATGTCTACTGCAGGGACTTTGCAAACTCAGCATAGTCGATGTATCCATCATTGTTCTTGTCATCGTCTCTTAAAACACCATCTATTAAGTTAATCAGTTCAGCTTCACTCATTGGTGGTGCCTGTTCATTCCCGTCCTACAAAATATAAGTTAGACGAGGATAAGTTACACATTTTCCTGGAAGTGCTTAGCTCATGTCCAAAATGCCCATGCCCACACGTGTCCCAAAACTCCTTCAATGTAGTACGTAGCTAATTTCAGGAATCTACAAGCCATATGTCAGGTACAGTCAGTTCATAATAATCCAACTTAGAAATTATATTTGCCAGTTAAAGATGTAATCAAAGTAGACCCTTGCTTATTTGTTTTAAAAATTACTTTTCATTTTTTTCTAAAGAAATTATGTTTACAGCTAGGTCTGGCTTACACAGAATTATGAGTTTCACAGTCCTATGACCCATAAACTCATCCTAGAGAAAATCTCACAGCCCAGGCCCTCCTGAGAGTCAGTTCTGGGCCCAATCTGAGAAGTTCCTCTTCGGAGAAAGAGGAAACAGTCCACACTGGACAACACCTCAGGATCAGAACAAGAGAAAGAAGGCACTGCTGACCAGCAGAAGCTGCTCTGATCCTTGAGGTGAAGGCACCTCCCTTGCTCCAGGAGCAGGTGAAACAGGCTCCCCACGCTGAGTGCCAAGCTAATGCTGTGCTGCCCTTGGCCGATTCTTCCCTTGCCACCTCTCCTATGCCTGCCCTCTCCTGCCCCCGCCACACCATGCCAGGACCATCGAATCCCAATTCCTCTCCCTGACACGAGGAATGTCTGACCTCTCTCCTCATGCCCATCAATGTGCCTCCCTCAGCAAAGAATCTTCCCAGGACACGAAGCTAATCATGCCTTCAGAGCAAACCCAGCTTGCCTTCCTGGCAGCCGATGCGAGCACTCCCACCTCACTCTCTGCCTCTCCTCCTCACCATAGATAGCAGTATGGCAGAGCCAGGCTGACTTCGGATATGGAGACATGAGATCTTCTTGATTTCAGTTTCCTTACCTCTAAAATGGGGGTGGCTAACAATGCCTGGCCCTGCCTGCTCACAGGCTGTTGCAGAGATCGAACATGATCTCTAACCTACTCAAAAGTGCTTTGTAAACTGCTTTGTAAACTGTAAACTGTAAGCACTGAACAACATCACACAAGCCCTCTAGTTACTGCCCAGTCCATCAATCCCTTCACCCCAATGCGCTATTCTTGTTAAATAAAATAACTTCTCCCCTGCTCTGCATTTTGAACATGGTCTGTCTTTTAAGTGTTGGTTCTCAAACTCTGGTACACAGCAGAAATGCCTCTAGCCACTTGTTAGAGATACAAGGCCCTGGGGCTTCTGCTCCAGCAGGTCACCCTTTGTGAGAAGGACCACCATGCAGGAAGAGAAGCAGAACAGAATGGTGAGCAAAGGAGAAGCAGCAAATGATCATGCAGGACAGAGCACAGGTCATCAAGATTTGGGACTGAACAGCAAAGGGAGGTCTTTCCAAGATGCAGCCCCTGAGTGACTGGCTGGCCGACCTACCTCCTTATGGACATGAGTGATGGCTGTGGAGAGTTCTAGGCCGTCAAGCAAATTATTGCCGTCATAATCATGCATTTTGAAATAATGGAGCTGCAGTTCTTGTGGGGACATCTCCGCCTCTGGTTTGTTGATGACGCCTTCTAGATGTTCCATAATATGCCTAAAAACCGACAGGTAGACTCAGACTGCTTAGCAGTGACACAGGATCATGCCGAAAACTTAAGGACTGAAAAGTTCAAGATTTTAAAGTTCATCCATCCCACAAAAGCAGAAACAGCGGCAGACCACACTCAAGGATGATGGATACAGGGCACAGCCTTGAAAGGAGCAAGGGAAAGTCAAACAGGTCACTGCTATGCTGGCAATATTATGGGTATTTTTTCCTCTTATTATTAAAATGTCATAACATTTTTGAAGGCTACCATTAAAAAAACAATTTTTAAAAGCAATTCAAAGATAACAATAATGTGTGAGGCCAAACGGCCCAGGACAAAAGTTGCAACAAATAATTCATTTGAATGTGCCAATAAAAAAAGGAAGAGGCCTTGTCAGAGTCAAGAAACCTTACAGCCCTTTCTGGATTCTGCCACTGCTTCGCAAATGCATGTGCGTGTGCGTGTGCGTGTGTGTGTCTGTCTGTCCGTCTGTCTGTCGTGAAAGGAACAGAATGAGTTCAGGGAAGTCATTTATCCCATCTGGGCCTCAAGATCCTCCATCTGTGATATGATGATGGAAAAACAGGACCTGATTTACAGGTGGCTGGAAGAAATAAACACCATCCTTGACACTTATCAGGGCATCACACAAGGGCAGAAGGGAAGAGGGCCACGGGTGCCCCTACAGCTGCAGAGGCCCTGGACCGCAGCCCAGGCTGGATACGTACTCATGGTCGTGCACCGTGTTCTTATCGAGGCCCACGCTGCCAGGAGGGGCGCTGGCCCCGGGCTCCTCAGCCCTGGCCCTTGGGGCACAACAGACCCACAGCAGGCCGCACAGGAAGGAGATTCTGAGCAGCTGCAGGGACCTCATGGTTACAGGTACCTGGGAGGTGGGGAACACAGAAGATGAAGGCGAGAACACCAGAGCTAAGGTTCTTTCAAAACCTGACGCTGTGTGCTCCTGGGAAAGCCCATGATGGAGCAAGGCTAGGGAAGAGGACATGTCAAACTGGCCCCAAGGCCAGCTCTGCCAGTAGACTGAGGGGCGGCCCAGGGCACTCCGGATCCCCATCACACAAATGCACAGGTCCACGACTTTTCCTGAAGCCCCTTCAGAATGCCAAGCAACTCAATGAGAGTGTAGAGCAATTTGAAGATTATTCCCACCTACAAGAAGCTTACAGTCTGGTCAGAGTATTTCCTATTGAGAGCACTGATAAAGGCTGAGGTGAGTTGTACTAAAACATAAAACGCTGTGAGTTCAGAGAAAGAGATTTCCTCTGAGTGAGGGAAAATCAGAGGAGGGTGACGGACATGGGGACACTTTAGCTGGGACTGGATGGGTGAGCACTCTGAGGACACGCAGGGACTGAGGGACTAAGGGACTCAGGGAATGATGCAGGCAGAGTGGCAGTGCAGACAAGTGGGAAAGAAGCTCAGTAGTTTGGTTGGCCTGCAGCCTAGAAAGCATGAAGTAGGCAGAAGAGCGGACAACAGGCAGCAAAGGTTGGCCAGACCTTACTGGGTGTGGCTCTGCACACGAGGCCAAGGGGGTCAAAGTTTCCTGAGGACAAAGGGGAGCCTCTGAGGATACATGAGTGGAATATGAGACCAGAGTGTGGTTTAAGAACAGCTGACGGGGCAGTGCAGTGGGGAAGGTATGGGGAGTAAGATCTGGTAGTTGAGAGAAATGACAAGTGTCCGACCAAGGCCTGAGGCAGTGAACTCGGAGAAGAGGACACTAACCCCTGCCTTGTCCGTCTCCCAAGACTGTGACAGAGGCAAATAACTGAGCCTCTGTGGAAGAGCATTGGTAAGCAGAGTTACCCAGACATCAGGACTCCATCAAGGACTCCTGAGGTTCGGCTAGACCGGGAACTGTGCTCAGCGAGACACAGTCAGCTGCACAGCTGGCTCCCCGAGTGCAGGAGGTGCTTTGCTCCCATCAGTACTCCCCACCAAGGCTCAGCTAGGCCTTTATTAGCTGTTTGTTAAACTGGAAGTCCTAGTCTTTCCAGAAGCTACCAGACTGACGCCAAAAAGGAAGGGAAAGGACCACCAGGAGGCCTTCATACCAACACGAAGAAAAGCCCTGGCTCACCGCACACATTCACTTTCAAAAGGCAGTGCAGTCGGCTGGATAGCCAGGACCACTGGCTTCTAAGGGGCCAACTGTAGCCACAGCCCACACCTACAGCAGGGAAGAGAAAGCCTACAGTACCGCTCACACCCTCACATGTGCGACACACACAGCTCAGGCCTCAGGATGCCACTATCTCCACACCCTGTATCTGGGCTTGGGAAGTAGGCATGTTTTAGCTTCTCCCATCCATCCTAAAATGCTCTGAAGCAGAGGACTCTGGGAGAATGTTATCCTACCACATTTAGTAAAATTTCCCAATTGACTATCAGCAGTATCCCCTTCCATGGCCACCTCCATAAGGGCACAACCGTCACTGGGATGTTTAACTTCCAGGGTGCTAAAAAGCAGCATTTAGTCCTACTATTAAATAGGGACATCATAATGCAATGTCATACTGCGTAACAGGAAAATATGTTCAATAGATAGATACCAAATGAAAAAGAGCAGGCTGCAAAAGTCTAAAGAATAATCCATGTTTGTAAAAAAAAAAAAGTCTGCATATTTCACACATACAACAATGACTAAATACTGAACTTTTAGTCATTGATTACTTTCTGAACTATGAGGAGTGATTTTGATTTTTCTTCATTTTACCTTTCTACTGCTTCTAAAATTTCTAAAAAAGTTTTTTCTGGGAGAATGGGAGGGTAGGGAGGAATAAGGGCAGAGAAGAAGAAAGGGGGTATTATGATCAGCATGTATAATGTGGGGGTAGGGGAAAGGGGAGGGCTGTGCAACACAGAGAAGACAAGTAGTGATTCTACAACATCTTATTATGCTGATGGACAGTGACTGTAATGGGGTTTGTGGGGGGACTTGGGGTAGGGGAGAGCCTAGTAAACATAATATTCTCCATGTAATTGTAGATTAATGATAACAAAATTTTTTTTAAAAGTTCTTTCTTTTTAAACATACATTTAATGTAATTTATCCCATAATTTTGTTTTAATTCTATATGGATAAAATTTAAGAAGGGGCTTCCATTTAATTATCACCCATACAGGATAATTTAGGAACAAAAACCACAGTTTCAATTTTACCAAATAAAAGTATCCAGACCTTGATGAGGCCACTGCCACAGTACCTGGCACCAGAAAACAAGGTCTCATGTACTATCAGCAGTAACAGCCCAGCCCAGAGCAGAACAGCCTGTTCTGATTACACATCTTAGAGTTCTGGGACCAGAGCGACCAGAGAGGAAGCCAGTTCCTCCCAAGCCTTTCAGACTCACACATCAGATGTCTTTCCCCAGCAAGCCTGCTTCAGTTCTGGATCTGACTTAGGCGTTCTTCCTATATGCTCTCTGTGCTTCCTTTCAAAGGGCCCTTCCAACTGAGGACAGCAGTGAACATGACCTTGAACACCACCTGATTACCTCTACGTGCCCGTCTGGACTGAACTCTGTGAGGGCGGGGACCTGATCCACATTCTATCCCTCTGTCAAGAGAGGCAGAACAAAGGCCAAGAACCAGTGATTTTGAAAAGAATGGAATCTTGCCATTTGTGACAACAGGGATGGACCTAGAGGCTATTATGTAAAGTGAAATCAACAGAGAAAAACCAGTACTGTATATTTCACTTGAATGTGGAATCTAGAAAATGAAACAAATGAACAAACAAAACAAAACAGAAAGCGATTCATAGATAAAGAACAATCTGGTGATTGCCAAGAGGGAAGGGACATGGGGAGACAGGTGAAATAGGGGAAGGGGATTAAAAGGCACAAACTTCCAGTTATAAAGTAAGACACAGGGATGCAATGTGCAGCATAGAGAATGTAATTATTGTGGTAATCACTCTATAATAAATGTAAATATAGAATCATTATGTTGTACACCTGAAACTAATACTGTATATCAATTACACTTCAATTTAAAAAGAAACAGATAACCTTTACTCTTAATCTCATAAACTATTGTGAATAAATGTACTAATATCTGTAAATGCTTATAAAATGCATAAAACATAGGAAGTGCTGAATAAATGTTCATATGATTACTACTTTTTAAAAAAGAACTATTAATTCTGAATGTGTCCCATTTTTGGTTTGCTGATGGCAGGTTTCTAACTATTAGAACACAATAAAAGTCAAATCTACACAGAGTTTCCCCTTCAAGTGCTGCAATGGAAACAGGGAATCTTATTGTCACCTAACAAATGAAACTGTCAAATTCATAAAGAAACATTAGCAATTCCCCTTCTCTTGAAGAACAGTTGCATCACCCCAACTCCAGCAATTTAGCTCAAGGCCATGAGCAAACCGCTTGGCAGATAAGCCCCAGGAGTTCCTGAACTCACAGGCCTTTGTGAAAATGCAAAGGCCAGGCTGGAGAAAACTCCAATGGAGGGAAGACTTCTGAAAGAGACGTCAGAATACACCCCATGTGCTGAGATCCTTCACAAGAAGCCTGTCCTAGGAGGGAAAGAGTCCAACCAACGTCAGTAGGGAGTCTCCTGCAGTGCCTTGATTGTAAAGGGCTCACTCCTCTCATAGCTCCAGCAGCCTCTTCCAGACCCAGAGCCTGCGCTCCCACGGGTTCTGTCATCTTCCTCCTGCCTCTTTCCAGGCCCAGTTCATAGGTCATCTCAGGATTCTGCCTTCTCTGATCTCAGTCTGCAGCCTCTCACACTCATTTGGCCCTAGCATGTGATTACATGTTGTTCTCCTTTTCCTCCCTCTGTGAGGGCCAGGAGCTTATCTTCTGTTTGTCCTTTGCCCTCCTGAACTTATCACAAAGTGCTGAGCTGACCCTGGGGAGAGCACACCTTCCTGTCTGAGGCAGGACAGTGGGTCTTGGCACCTAGATGTGTTCCTTATCACAGAGGATCTGCCTAAACTGGAAAAGTCAGTTCTTTTTGGAGTACTCTCACTCCCAGTGGTTTGCCTGGCCCATCCTTCCCTCTCATTGTGTAATTAGTGCTATCAGCACGTATGAGTTTGGAGGCAGTCTTTATCCTATAAAGATCACAGCAGCTGGTAGTAGCTTTTCTCCCATGCTGGGGACCCTCAGTTAAGAATTCAAACTCAAAGCAGCCACACATCCTGACCCCCTGTACCCAGAGTGAATGCCAAAGAAAAACTCTGACAAGCTTTCCCCATTTACTACTGCATGGTCTTTGACCGAAGGCAAGAAAATAAGCAGGCTCCTAGGCCAAAGAAGCTGCTACAATACAAGTGTTGGAGGTTGAGAATTGGCTCTGAAAAGCAGGCATGTAATAGCTTGATCTATTTGTTCATTGGGAGCCCTCTTTGTTCATTTGGGAAGACCAAGGAGCTGCCCTGCTTCATTTATACTAACGGATGAACTCTTTGCCGACAGCCTGGTGCTGCGCAAGGTACTAAGGATGGGGCTGTGGCCCAGACAGGCTCCTCTCACACTGACTATGGCCTGGTGGAAAAGAGACCAGTAAATAAACACCCCTGGGTTACCACAGAAGCCCCAATCCACACCTGGGGTAATACATGAAGGATGAGAATGATTTTTTAACTAAGAATAAGCCCCTGCCGAACCCAAATGGCTTCAAAGCCTCTGGCGGCTTCTGTCCTCCCAACAAGTTAAGCTTCCCGAGGCGGCTCGAGGGCCGAGACCCGGACTCAGGCCGCTCTTGCCTCTCTACCTGAGCTCGAGGCCTCAAGATCCCTGGGGTCCCACCCGCTGCAGACCCCTGAGTGCCGCCCGACGGACCTCTCCCCCCAGTTTCTGTTCACGCGCCTCAGCGATTGTGGCCCAGCCATCGGCTGCTCCCGGGGTCACTCACCCTTGCTGACCCCAGCTGCCCAACAGCTTTCTTCATATGTGAAGCCACCCAGCTTGAGCCTCGCCAGCCCCCGTCTTCAGAACGCTTTTGCCTCGGCCCCGCCCCAACCCAACCCAACCCGCTCGGCCCGCCGCACGCATGCGCGCTCCTTCTGCCCGCCCATTGGCGACACAGAGCCCCGCCCCCCGGCACCCTGCAGTGTGGGCCGCTCCGGTGATTCCACGTGTAACGGGATCGGCCTTTGGGAACCTGGCGGGTAACCCTTTTTGCCTGCCTACCTGAGGGCGATAGTCGGCTAGAGCCTGGGTTGGGCCACCTGAACCCCCTGAGGGCTGGCTGGTTGCTAGGCAACCCCGGAAGCCTCCAAGAATGGATTCCGGCTAGAGACGCAGGACGGCTAATAGGGATGGAGCAGACGCCAAAGCTGCATTCCAGACCGCCTGCACCTCCATCTCTCCAGGTGCCTCAGCTGCTTCGACTGCAAGTTGGGAAGAAAGATACTATAGTAGGAATCACGGCTGCAAGACGCAGGGGTCGGCCTTGGATCCTTCGTTTACAAGCTGGCCTACTTCCAGCCTCTGCTCTATTAATCTGCATTACCTATTCACTCGTATACAAGTCCCACCAAGACTCTTAAGAGCGGCTCAGTTCAAATACCACCTCACCTGCACAGTTCGTGGAATCAACTACCTCAGCAGAAGACAAAGCACTTAAAAAAAACTTAGATATGCAAATTAAAAGATAAACTCCGCAAAATCCTGCCCTCTTATCTTTCTTCGTGTGCAGCACTGTCGCTCAGTGAGTATCTATAAACCAGATGGGCAAATGAATGTGGGACTGTCATTTTGAAAATCGTTTTTCCCATATGTGTTCATAAAGATACTTAAATCATTTTTTATATGAGCCTAGATCCAGAAACGGAGAGGCAAGTAAAGTGGTTAAACAGATGATCCCAGAAAGGTCCCTGCAGCCTGCTTAAGCAAATCAGTGCCTTGAAAGTGGGCCTGGGAGAATTGCCATTGACCTCATTCCTTCTCCCATCTTTATCTGAAACCGAAATCTGTCAACCCTAGCTTAGAGAAAAATTCCAGGTTCCGAAAGTCCCTGAAGAAACTCTATAAATTCTTCTTTCCTTATTCTAAAGTTAGGGTTAGTTTCCTAGTCCATTCTCCAGTCCTGCATCTGCCATCCATTCATTCTTCCATTTGCTCATTTATTCATTACCTTCTGTGTACTAGGCACTGTGCTAGGAGCTGCTAGGGATACAAATAAGATAAGGTCTCTTCCTTCAAGAGGCTCGGTGTCTGACAAATGGATAAAGTGTCCTCATGCAAACTGTGCATTCTGGACAACTAGAGGGCAGAACAAGGGAGAGGCTGCCAGATTCCCCAGCCAAAATTTTGATGCACTGCCCAGAAGAGACCCCTTCATATTTCTGTCAAGAAGGATTGGAAGTGGTTGACTGACAGGTATGTTATATTTCCCATTCTCTTTTTTTTCTGAAAGGGAGCTTTTATTGTTTCTTCATGCTATATTCTGAATGTGTTTTCATACATTTTACTGATGTATAGTTGTAGAGGAAAGATACAGTTGTTTTCTTTAATTCACAAACACAGTATTTGTGGATACCAGATGTATGTTTTTTCCCCCCACAGCAAGCAATTCTCTGCAATATCAGCTGAATGTAATACAATGCAATTTAATTCTGACACTAACTGGAGTCAGTGAAGACCCCACAGTTAAGGGCTCAGTCCCATAAGACGGTCCCCCACTTCAGATGCCAGACATAAGTAGTAGGTCCCCAGAGGTTATCCACAAGTTCTGTCTGATTTGGCTACAAATTGGAAGTTTCCACAACCCCCTCCTTGGATCTGATCACTTGCCAGACTAGCTCACAGAACTCAGAAAACACTTTACTTACATTTACTTGTTTATTATGTCACAAAAGAAACAGATGAACAGCTAAATAAAAAAATAACTAGGGAAAGGTCTGTAAGGGCCCTGAGCACATAAATTTCTGTCCCAGAGTAGCTGGTGTATACCACTCTCCCAACACAATGATGGTGTTCACCAACCCAGAAACTCTCTGAACTCTGGACTACTGGCATTTTCAAGGGGCTTCCTCACATAGGCATTTAATCTCCAGCACCTCTCCCCTTCCTGGAGTATCGGGGTGGGGCTGGAGTGGGGCTGAAAGATCCAAGTTTCTAATCAGGGCTCAGTCTTTCTCATGATCAGCTTCCATTCTGAAGCTATCCAGGAGCCTACCTCATTAGAATGAAAGACACTCCTTTCACCCAGGAAATTCTAAAGGATTAGGAACTATATCAGGAATTGGGATCAAAGACCAAATATTAGAACAAAAGAAGCTCCTTAGGACTTAGGAAATTACAAGGGAATTCTGTGCAAGGAACCAGGAGCAGAGACCAATATGTATTTTTTCTATTATTTCACAATACTGTACATGAGGAAAAGTATGTAACTAACCTAATTGCAGATTTAACCTCCCCAAAGAAATGGTCAGTCAGGAATTTTCTATCTGTCACATGTGCCTTCTCCATCCCAAAAGGAAGATAAGGTAACTCATCTGATGAGACCCTTATCCCTACCTCCTCTCACACACACAGATAGCATTAGAATATATTAGCATGATCTTTTAGGACACTAACTAGAGGTATCCATGCCATAATGCTTCATATATTGATAAATGTAACCTCTTTTCTGCATGTATCCCCCCTGTAGAAAACTTAAGTTGTCCCCAAATAAAGGGGCTTTGGAGCAGTTTACAAAACTCCTCCCAGGTTATTTCACTGGCCACAATCCTCAGTAAGACACAAATAAACTCTTCCTTAAATACAAGAGTCGTGTTGATTTCGGTTGACAGCGGGGTGCTGGGCAGCAGTCAGATTGCAGTGGCAATGAGCAGCTGGTAGGCAGGCACTGGGTACAGCAAGTATGGTCAAGTCCTTAAAACACTGGCTGTGAAGGGAAAGGAAAATAGCTAGAAGGGGACCCAGGACCCAGGAAGACTTATCTTTAAGATGGAGAGCTTTGCAAAGTCCTTGTGGGAAGGAGCCAGCAAAGATGAGACTGAAGCAATCGCAGAGTGGACAAACTTGACAGACTGAGATTACTGAGGAGGCAGGAGAGAATGGATCCAAAGCCCAGCTGGGGGTGAGCCCGAGATATAGGAGGCATGACCATTTTCTTGAAGTGGTGTCATTGGGGGAGGGACAGGGAGATTGAGCTGGTCAAGGTTTGAAATCATCATTGTGTACCTTGGAAAGCAAGTTGCTCATAGATAGAAGGCTTCCTGGCCTGACTTGAAGGTCTAGTTGAAATTGCATCTAAGTTATGTTGGGGAGGAAAAATTTTCCTCTAGCCTTCAGGGTTCTCACTAGTCTAAGAATCAAATTGACATGAGACAGATTAACAGAAGAAAATCAAATTTAATTTCATATGTATGGGAACTCCACATACATGAGAGGTTCAAAGACAGGAAAGTAAAATGAGGTAAATATGCCATCTTGAGCTAAGGAATGGGGTAGAAGCCGGGGGCTTCAGAGGGAAGGAGAGCAATTCACAGGTCAATAAGAAAAGCAGGTGTTTGGTAATTAGAAGTTTGCCCTTCCATACAGATGGATCACTCAGATAAAATTCATCTCTGGTAATAATCATTATTTTGTGAAAGACCCCAATTTAGGTTTTTTTCTAGACAGTTTAGGAAGGGGCAAAAACTTCTTTTGAGCCTGCAGGGTCTCAATTGCCTTAAGCTCAAAATAGTTTACATGCCAATCGTATTTCGGGTAGGCTTGTTCTAAACCCCTTCAGTTATATATAGACACGGCTAGAAAAAAATAGAACAGAAAGATGCCTAATTAAAAAGTTAAGGATCTCTCTCTCTCTAATAGTCGCCTAATAAAAAAGTTCCCATCTCAGGAATTACCACCGTCTTCCCCATCGTGCTTGTTGCTGCTTCTGACTATACCAGGGCGGAGTTGGGGGGTGGACCCGAGACTGGTAAGGAGGAGAAATTCTTATTTGACTGGTAAGGTGGGCCCTTCCTCCCCCACCTCCACCTGACTAATGTCTAGTGCTGATTCATTCACAAGTGCTTTTGTGTGACTCCCCTGCTGGACCCCGCACTGCAGTTCCCTTGGCAAGGGAAGCACCTCTCCTTCCAAAGGCACTTGCTCCTCTCACAGAATCTGCTTTCCTCTAGCACTCCAATAGACAGCCTTTCAGGCAGGATCCCTTTAAAAGTGGCTCTAAGCTGGTTCAAGGGCTCATGAGTTGGGTCAGATTTGAGAAGAGTCCCTACTCTCCTCAGGTGTCTTCCAGATGGTGCACCCCATGGAGCCCAGAACGGAACCTGAACAATGGAGAGGCAATACTGAAGGTGACATCCAGGCAGATGGGCCTAAGAGCATCCTAAGGTCCCTCTATCCCCAGCATGGTTCAGCAAAAGGAGTAAAAAATTCCCAAGCTTTCAGAGCCATCCCTTACTCCTCCCCTATTACGTTCTGCATCCCAAGCAGGCTGACCCCAAAGGGTTGCATTTTCTAGCCTGCCCTGTTAGCTGGCTTCCTGCTGGCTCAGCTGGTAGAGGGCATCAGCAGGGGTAGAAGGAAGAAAGGAGCTGCTCCTACTGGCCAGGGAGACTCAGTGAGTTTTAGGAATTCCAGGCACTCCGATTCATTGAAATCCCCCGTTCTAATTCCCAAGGTCCCATGTTGTTCTTAGTCAATGCCTTCTTTTTCATAAGAGAGATGATTTGTTTGTGAATTCATTTTATGTTGAAATATAGGTTCCCACAGTATCGGACCCTGCATCTGGATTTCAGCCACTTATGTTCAGCAGCTCTAAGAGAAAAAAAATTCTTTTAGGACACTCTTAGGGGCTCTGACTGTGGTTTGAGTCAAGAATTTAAAACTCTGAATATGCAAAGTTTTAAATTTAATATTTTTAAAGCTCTCTTATGCTTAAAGCCATCAGAACTAGCCAGCCAGCCTCTGATACTCTTTTCGTTCTTCATTCCATCATAATGACCCATTACTATTCACTCAGGGCATGAGTACCTCAGGGGGTGTCCAGGCACTGGTAGTTTTAGAGGTTACTTAACAGGTCCTCCGTTTTCATATGCACTCTTTGCTGA